TGATGAATAATGCAGACACTTTAGTAAACATTTCATTGGTGCATTTTAAATTTTAGGGGGAACTGGGCTACCCGTGTGGTCTTTAAGCAATCGCCTGTGATGCACACACACATTCACACTTAGACTCGCCGATACCCCTACTGGCAAGTTTTTGGGAGGTGGGAGGAAACCAGAAAACCCAGAGGAAACCCTTACGGACACAGGAAGAACATGTGAAACCCCACACAGACAGTAACCCAAGCTCAGGATCAAACCAGGGACCCTGTCCACCACTGTACCACCATGCCACTTATTTGTCATTTTAATCAATTTAATTCACGTTTAAAAAGGGATTTTGACTCATACCTTCACTTAGTTCTAATTCACTACACTATATCATTTTTCTATGTACATAGAACCTAGCAGATTCAAAACAACAGCAAATGCAGATTCAGCTCAAAGAACAAGGCTGCTCCTACCATTTCTGGTTAAAGCCTTTGCCTGAATTTCATATGAATAAATAATAGGGAGTAAAAGATAACTCCCTGCCTGTTTTATGCTTGTTTTTTTGAGGACAAACACATTATGCGTAAGTGTTTTGTTTGCATGTGACAGTGCTCTGTTATATTTATGTGACTAGATGTAGAATTAAAGTGCAACCTGTAATGGAAACCAGGAAGTGTTTTGCTATGCCACTCTCTTTGTAATACTCTCCTGGAAACATTTTCTATAATGACATCTCTGCAATTCTTCGACTGCTGCATTTGTTTAGTGCGTGACATTTAAAGATCGAATTCATAAAGACACACTGACAAAGTAAATACTAATGGCATGGATTGGTGTGGCAGGCCTCCTTTAAAGTAAACGATTGCATTAGCTGATTTGTTTACTGCGGATTTCCGTTTGTATTTGGCAGACATCATGTGGTTCTTGTCGCAAGAATGTAAATGTCTAGGGATTACAGTGGGATTGTACTGGATATACATATATTTAAATAAGTGATACATTTACTCTCTCTTTCTCTGTCTCTCTCTCTCTCTCTCTATTTCTCTCTATGTCTCTCTCTTACAAACACACGTATGGGCAACCAAATGTAAAAAAAGTTTAATACTCTTTTTATCTAGCTTTTTTGAAGCCATTCTTATACTTTTAGATAATGATTCTTGTAAAATAACATTTATACGTTTGTTAAATATAAACATAAACGTTAAATAATTAAATATAAAATGTAAATGGTGAAAGTAAACCTAAACATTAAAGGTAAATATTAACTGTAAATGTTAAATATAAATCTAAATGATATATATATATATATATATATATATATATATATATATATATATATATATATATATATATATATATATATATATATATATATATATAACTGTAATAAAATGTTAAATGCAACATATGATAAATATAACATAATGATAAATATAAATATAAAACATAAAATCTTAATTGTAAACATTAAGAATTAACCTAAATGTATGTATTAAGTGTAAATGTTGAATATAAATATTAACTATAAATGGTAAACATAAATCTAACTGTTACATGTACATATTAATATCAATAACATCACTATCAATAATATTAATATTAATTTGTAAATACATTTCTATCGTTATGGGAATGACATCTAAATGGTTAAAAATGTCAGCTATAACAGAGTAATCCTTTTTCAGTGTTGGATATTTAAATAGAACTTCTGAATATTAAACATAAAAAAATGTTTAAATCAAAATGTAAATGTAAATATATGAATATACAACTGTACAGGTACATGTATACATCAATGCTAAATTTTAAATAAATGTTATATATTATAAAATAAAAGTATCATTCATTTGCTAATTTACACACACACACACACACACACACACACACACACACACACACACACACACACACACACACACACACACACAGTGCCATAATTATAATTGAATGCCATCTCTTTATATCAGCTTTATGATGTGCAATGAGCGTGAACATCCTGCATATTTAATACTTGAAAGGTTCATCATTCTGAACCCTGGCTGTATCTTTGCTTACTCCAATCAGTATAAAATGTGTTTATACAACCCAAGACAATCCGAGTTAATTCAGGAATAGTGAAGAGATTGCATATAGGAGAGAGAGAGAGAGAGAGAGAGAGAGAGAGAGAGAGTGTGTGTGTGTGTCTGTGTCTTTCCTGAGACACAGAGAGAATAAAGTCTGTCACACACTGACTCCTGTTTCACCCCACCATCTGCCTCCTAAATCTTAGCTCCCCTGCTCCTCTTCACCATCCTGTTTCCTGCAGAACCAATTGGCTGACGCTGATCCCTGCTTAGTCCTGATCTGCGTAACACCTCACTATTGGCTGGAGCTTCTCAGCATGCAGAGCATGGGCCAAAGAGCTGGGCAAGTACTGGTCACTCCCTGTATGTGACAACAATCCCTTCATGCTGGCTGTGGGGAAGGGTGGCTAGACTGAAGCCCTTTCTTACAAAAAAATAAAAAATCCAAGCTCACCTAAATCACCTCAAATCATGTGGTGAGATGTGTTATGGTCTGATGAGACCAAGGTAGAACGTTTTGGTCATAATTCTAAAAGATATGTTTGGCGCAAAAACAAGACGGCTTATCACCCTAAGAACATCATACCCACGGTGAAGCATGGTGGTGTCAGCATCATGCTATGGAGCTTCTTCTCTTCAGCTGGGACTGGAGTTCTAGTCAAGTTAGAGGGGATAGCCCCAAATACCAATCTATTTTGACACAAAACCTGCAGGCCTCTGTTAGACAGCTGAAACCCACAGACTGATACTCATCGACTATTGTGTTGCACAAACAAGAACCGTGTACACCAAAAAAGCCAGACACAATCCAGAAGACTTTTCAGAATGCTTTTCTACAATGTTATACTTTTTCTACGAAACTGCACTTTCTAAATTGGCAACCACACACCAGATTTCTGATCTGTGTTGAGTTTTTCAATGGCACTGTTTAAATTATATACGATACGAATATACGAATGTGTGACTATGCAGTGAGTATCTAATATGAAACCAGCTTTACCATGGCAATATAGGTCATAATTAAAAAAAAAAAATTTGGTTGTTTTGGAGACATTGATGTACAGTGTAGATACAATTGCATGCAAAGCTTGTACACCCTTGGACAAATTACAAAGTAATTACAACGCAAAACCTTAAGAAGTAAAACTGCAGCAAACTATTTAAAAAAAACAACATTTTCCTACAACTATTAAAGCTCAGTTACATCATATTTGATTAACTTAAAGAACCCAGAAAAAAAATAGTAAATGTGGCACGTGCAAAAGTTTGGACACCCTTCTTGATGTAAAGCCTCAGAACTTTCAGAATTCACGTGTTAATTGACTCATTAGGACTTATTAGGCAGGTCAAGAATTGTCATTGGAAACAACAGTTCCAGAGTGTAAATAATAAATTCTCTGAGTGCAAACTTTTGCATACTGTGTATGCTTTCTCATTATTTAGACTATGGGATGTAATTGATATAATCCTGTCTTCAACCATTGAAAGCAGGCTTCTGCAAATGTAATACCTGCCCTTTAGTCATACTAATTTGTGTGTTTAAATGAATGCTTAATAAATCACATTGCAGGTGCAAAAAATAGTCTATCAGAAGTAATTAGAAGATGAAGAATTCAAACAAAATAAAGAAATTGTAAGTAGATGTGATGATTTGTAGCTGGAAGCACACAGTTGATCATGTTTGGGATGAACAAATACACCCACGCAACCGAAAGAAAGATGCAACCTACCACAGATTTAATTGTTTGAGCAGTTGAGAGTTGTGAAGACAGTTTTGCTTTTTATTGAATGCTCAGTTGTCACTTGTTGACAGCTTCCTACTTACAGAAGTAGGACTAAAGACTTACAGAAGAAGTTAGCGAAACTTTGCAGAACTGTCATGAGTTGTCCTTTTAATTATACACATTTCACATCAAACCAAGCACCACGTATTAAGTTTTCAAGAACTGCATGTTTGAAGACTTCAGCTGTGCACATTGCATGCAAAATTGTGTTTGCAGTAGCGGTCCTCAGGGCAGATACACACACACTGACAGAAATCCACACATGCACAGACAGAGAACTGACAGTGCAGGGTGGAAGCGCTTGGCTAGTTTATTGCTCTGTACACTAGGACGCTCTTAAGCTCATTTGAAATTCATTTGAAATACGTTGTACTTTTGATTAAATGCTTGACTAAAATCACATGTTTAGTTATTTATCTTAAAGTATGTTACTCTGTAATGACTATGAATTATCCTGTAACTACAGTGAAACTAATTGGAAAGGTATGTAGCTGTAAGAGAGAAGATCCTGTGTGTTTAGTAAGGAATAAAACACTTCAGGGCATGCTGTTATAGGAAAATAATCAAGGATATGGCGGTGTTTTCCAATAACAGGACATCATGAAGTGTCTTGTTTGTCTCTTACCGCAAAAATTTGTCAAATATTACAATTTTTAATTGATTAATCCATGGCATGTCATAGTTTTTATCCATTTATAGTTACATTTAATGTCCACAATACAAGTTAGTTCCTGTTATCACTTACATTATGGCAGCTACATACAGTATATACTACATCATTTCTGTGAGTATTTCGTTTTCCTGCTTTACTTACGTAGCCTAGGTTACTAAAAATACTAAAATAGATAATAATAGACTACATTATAAAAAAAAATCTTATTTATGGCCCTTGCAAAATGCTGATGTGGCACAGGCAGAATTTGAGTTCAGCACTAGTGCTGGGGGATATGATGATATGCGTAAAATTGACATCTTGATAAATTATGTTCGAGTGTACTTTTTGGAGATATCATGGATGTTTTCTATTTTTAGTACATTTTTTATTGCTTTTTTTTATCATTATAAATTGACTGGAAGATGCGATGTTGATATTTGTACTATTTTTTTAAACAGATTTTTACATATTTTTTTCTTTTAAGGGCCCAGGTTATTTTATCTTATCTTGTGTTATCTGGAGGAGTAGTGGCTAGCATGCGGTGCTCAGACTGCTGATGCCCGGGTTCAAATCCCAGTCAGGGACCCGACCCCAGCCACTGGAGAATTGAACGAGCCAGTGCACTGTCAGTGCCGGCCCCAAGCCTGGAAAATAGGGACGTATGCATCCGGAAGGGCATCCAGCATGAAAACTTCTGCCAGAATCAAAACATGTGGACAGGCGATCTGCTGTGGCGACCCTGAACGGGAGTGGCTGGGGGGGGTGTATTATTAAACAGCATTTAAAAAACAAACCCAAGTAGTGTATTGCCAGGAAATACACAAACCAATACATCATGATACATATTGTGTATCGTAGAAATGCCTTCGAGAAACATGATATGGTATTGTTGTCAAATTGCCCACCTCTGCTTTAATGGGTTAACACACTTGACTGCTCTGCAATGCTGCAAAATGTGTGTCTTATGTCTTGTATCTTATGATGTCAAGGATTTGACATGTCTCATTATTCTGTCTTTCTGAATGTGTTCAGCATTTCTCATCCTCCTGCTTTGATAACAGCACACATAACACCATTGTTCACTGCACACACTTTTTTTTTTCTTTTACACAATTCCCTTCTCATTCTCTTTGATGCTTACCAGACCTCAAGGACACGTTTTCCCTGACCAATTACTCCTGCTACTCATGTAACGGTTTGTACACATTGTGTTGAATTGAATCTTTGTACACACAGAGCACAAGGTCTCTCACCTCCGCCTCCTTTGCCTCCTTTTTGTTTTCTCTCGAACTCCACGGCTGTGCAGCTTCCCCCGCAGTGGCTCTGTCAAACAGGGCCGAGGCAATATGTGAAGTCAGTTTGTGAGGGTGTCGTGATGGGGTCAATGTTATGTGTAGTGGGGCGCTGGAAGAGTCTGCTGAACAGACAGAGACAGATGAGGCATCACACAGTCCTCCTGTGGTGCGTGTGAAGTGCAGATTGGTTTGGAGGTTCGACTCAGCGGGACAGCTTCAGGGAAGAACAGCACCCTGGACAACACCGAGGCGCCAGGTGTCTGAACCTCAAAGCACTTCATTTCACTTGGCTGTGTGATGCAATAAATGAGTGTGACCAATACACACATGCACACACTCATGTACCTCCGGTCCTCTGCACCTGGGGGTTTGTGCTGGAATTGCAGGGGGTTTGTGAGACTGTGATGTTAATGTCAGTGTCACATTAACTTGCTGAGGTCTGTGATGTTTCTTACGATATGAAATATCTTAAATATTGCTCAATAATTTGTAATAATTTGCAGCGTGCACAATAATTGACAAATTATTATGCATAGAGACTTGTGTCTTGTCAGAGAGAGCGATTGCAAATACACTCATTATGTCTGGATTATAAATATGCTACAGAGGTTTCAAGGTTTCACTTTCAAGATGCTATTTAACTGTACTGATCACATATAGAAGGGGAGATATAGAAGGGGACCTTTCTAAGGGGAAATTTCTCCCAAATTTGGTCACCTGCCAATTCCCACCCACCAGCCAGCTCTCCCCTATCAAACGTCATCTACCAACAGGGCAGGGTGAAGGCTAACATGTGCTTCTTAACACTCTTGGACTCTTGTGATTATCTAGTGTTGCTGTGATTGACAGGGCAGGGAGAGTATGCCATCCTCCTCACAAAGAGAACATGCCCAATTTTGCTCCGTTCGTCCTCCACCACAGATGACTGTGCCATCATCACAATTTGAAGTCATGACCTCCTGACGGACCCCAGTGACAAAACCATTTACATTGGTTCAGGGTTTCAAACAATCACCTGACATGCTTATAGAGCTGTGGCCCTATTTGTGCTGGAAATAATCAATTCTAAGAGCCATAGAAGTAAAACAAATTAATGAAACAATGAAAGGTAAATGTGAATTACTAGCTCATTCATTCTGGGTAAAAAAATCCCTAATCTTAAGAACTTCTTAAAATCTCAGCGAGTACTTAAGATGAATCATTTAAGTTGAATGGGTTTGGGAACTCCTGCTCCACTTTTCCTCCTTTAGTGTTTAATTAGTGTTTAACTGAGCGAATGGACACACACTTGGTTGTGTAGATTACCTCTGCAACATTCAATAGATTTTAAATGATCTTATTAGTGTGATAAATTAATTAGTGTTTTCAATTTGGGCTACTTCAGCATTTAAAACTGGAAAAAGTGCTGACTAAATGTGCTCCCAGATGAAAACCTTCTTCTCAGAAAATTCCCCTGTCATATCAGATAAACCTCAATAATATTAATATACACTAAATTGGCAGTTTATTTCTTGCTAGATCAATATACCCAATAATGAACTCACTGTGTATGTGTATATAATTATACTCCAATGGCAGGTTTTAGGTATACCAATCTAGTCACTAATAAACTGACAATAAACAAAAATCAACACTAATGAACAAACAGACAAAAAAAAAAAAACTTTACTAACTGGATCTTTGAAGGTGTCTTTTTCTGGTATTTTTCAAATGGCATATCTTACCTGTTTTGCATAGATCATTTCTATCTAAATTTGAAAAAAAAAAAAAAATTTAAAAATACAGTATAAATGAAGTATAACTGCTGAATTTCACACCTGCATTGTGATTTATCACTTTGGGGAAAGTGATTGCGTCTGTAAGTTAATACAACTGAAGGGCAGGTATTCATAGTTACCAGGAAAAGAAAAAAAATCCTAGTTCTTACAGACTTTCACAACAAAACAAATGTTTTCATATGTATAATTAAATGTAATGTGATTGGCAGTAGTGCGATGGTGCTCGATGCTGTAATTATAGCGACTGCTTCCGAATTCCGAGGATCTGGCTGATCCAGCACAAAGACAACATGTAAACAGTACTGCTACTGTTGTAATAATTTACTTGAGTAAAAGTAAAAGTATTGATCATGAAAATTAGTGAAATAAGAGTAAATAAGTCTTCTGGCGAAAACTACTTAAGTAATTACTTACTTGTCTACAACTTACATGTCTACAACTGACACAACATATAATATTCTACATCTGAGGAACGCATTTTTGAACAGTTATGCTAACTAGCCAAGTGACCTGTGTTGAAATGAGCAACACCATTATCAACAGTACATAAAGAAAGGTGATGTTAGTCTGCTAGATAACCAAATGCTGTTGGGTTTCAGTAGCTTGCTAGGTTCTTTAGCTAGCTAGCTAGCTAGTTCATGTTAATTCATACATGTTTCTAGCTACAATACTGTGCAAAATCAGAGCTAGCCTTTTTGTTTTCAATTAATTAACAATGTTAATTATTTGGTGGAAAACAATAATGATAGGAAAATCTGCAGTACGTTAATTCCATTTTCAGTCAAATATCCATGCAGTGCATATTTATGCAGACCAATACTAAAAATGCAATGTTACAAATAAAATTTGCTTTTGCGTGATTTTCTGTCATAGCTTCGAATCATAGCTTTGATTTGTGCTGTAAGGAGAGAACACCACAGGTCTTACCTGAAACATTGGTCAGTGAACTGTTGACTCTCTTTGAGGGAAAAAACAATGATTTGCTACTTCACAAAATTTGTTAGATGAGGATAATGATTGTTTATACCACAGCACTGTTTAGTACTTGATTCTAATTGGTTGACAGACGTTCTAAGGTGCCCAATTATTTTTCAGTTAATGCACAGCTAAAGTAATTCCAGGCAGATCTTGACCGCATTACAGTTCCATATCACTTCGCCAAGTTAACTGAAATAATGGAAAAGTTAGCCTGCTGTCCACCATAGCACACAGATCTAACAACAAATAAAACACAGACAATTTCCATTTTCCAGAAATAACTTTAATATTTATGGAGAGCATGAAAATTTCAACAATTGGGTGACATCTGTATTGGACAGTCCAGATGAAAAATGATACAAACGAAAGTGAACATCAAAGGCAGACGGCAACAGCAAATCACATAAAACAATCAGGTAACAGTTAGACAGGCTTGAGGGTGAAAAACATGGAGAAATCACACACAAAAAAACAACAGCTTGGGCAGTAAATGTGTTTGACGATTGGCTTAAAGCCAAAAATACTTCGGTGGAAGAGGTGTGTGTGTGGGGGGGGGCATATCAATGGCTCAAGCCTCTGTTATTGGTTCTAAAATGACGTTTTGGGATGCATAAGAAATTAGTTCACACAAGAGCATTTTAAGTACAAAAACCTGACCAATGATTTGAAATGTAACAGCCACAACATGAAGCATTGTGTGTGCATTATTTTTCTAATAATTCAATGGCCCGTCATCAATTATTCCTTGCATCCTCATCTGTATTAGTGCACTTAACTAGCTCGCCACATGTCATTACATAATGTTAGCTACCAATTTTTAGTATCGTTTCCAAGCAACCAGTACATAGGACTAGGTTTAAATTTCACTCCTTCTGTAGCTTCTTTGAGATACAAGCTTGCAACAGCTAAGAGAACAATTAGCACACACAACTAAACAAATTGAAATACTGTCTCCTAGACATTATTTACACTATTTTTCTTTATAAACCAAGCCTACAAATTGCACACTCAATACTGATCAGATTTAACAAATTAGCCTGTTCATTCGAGAAGTCTGTGGAGCAGTGTGAAAGCTACAATACTCCACCCAGCATGCAGTGCAGCATGTGCGTATGTGATATCAGCGATGGATACAGATGAACACCTTATAAGGTGTCGGTGTTAATTCAACCCTGCAGCTCTTATTTCAGCACTGGGTCATTCACTCTGTGTGTGTGTATGTGTGTGGTTTCTCTGATTTCATTGTCCTGTCTCCTGAAGCAGGGAATAAACATGCTCAGAGGGTTGTTTGTCAGCAGACTGCTTGTATCTTCCAGGGCATCTTTTTTAAATCACTCCCAAGTGGGCTGTTGTTTTATGATCAGGATTCAGATGTATTGTTGTTTGCTATTGATTAGAACTGGGGCTTGTTCCCATTTCACAACTGAACAGCTCAGTGAACAACCTGCGGAAGTGAGACACAGAGAGACAGACAGATACAGAGAGAGAGAAGGGTACCTTTCATGTTATTGGGCATGTTCAAGCATGTCCACTT